ATTCATTTTTCTTTATCTCCCTGAACGTTATGGTTGGTCGTGCTGCGCTTTTTATGCCCATGTTTGTATGGCTTCGGAGCCGAGCGACCCGCTCTTATTATAATGATAATTAAGCTCACGCTCAATAGTGGGTTTTTAGTTCAAGTCTATGTATTATCTCATGTATACATTGATACTTACTGGTATATATTGTCAGTTAATATAATAACCAAACAATTAAAACAATTTAAATCAATTGAAAGTTGATTGATATCGATGTCGATGTCACGGGCCCTGAACTTGAGACCAGAACTGGCTTGTTTAATTTGGCTCCGCTGCGTTTTTGTTGCTCACACTTAATGGTTTAATTGTTATTCAATATAAACTCTGTGCTTCATCAGTCTTTTGCCTGTTAATGCATATCATTTAAGAAACCATTTGGCTTGAGTTGGGAACTCGTTTTTAATTGTATTCTGTATTCTGCTTAATTAGTTGACACGCTTTTTGCATAGAACAATAATAATTTATCACCGGAGCATGCTTACACAAAAAGATAAATTGGAAGAAGCCTGTGGCACTTCGAAAAGACTGAATTTAAAATGTACAATCATGAGATAACCAGTAATTTTTTCAAAAGGCACGCACAGCACGCGATTTGAACCGCAATTTGTCAGTCAATTAAAAAGATAGATGCTCCAAAATGGCTAGTTTGGTGGTAGGCCGAAGCCCAGGGCTTGAATGTTAGTATCTAGTCGACAATTGATTTTTCAGATTAGATAATACTACTGTCATAGGACTTGAAAGATAACCTTTGTAACATCAAATGACCACATTTTCTGTTGTCAAGAAACACTAGAATACTGTTCATATCTAGTCAAGTCTTTATTTTTTTTCTTTCTTTAAAACTTTAATTATACCGTTATTATTTACAATAACTTCAATTCAACTTATAGAAAAATTTAAATACAGCTTAAACTAGGAGTTAGGTACTTTTTAATTAATTATTTGATTTAATTATTAATTATTTATTCTTTATGACCTCTTAGCCTCCTTCACCCAATTCTAAGTCTTTATTGGATTTGTGTCAGGCTAGGATGCCTAATTTTTTCATCTTTAAAATGCTGTCACAGCTGGCAGGGATTGATGATTAATTTATGAATCATTTAAGCTGAAAATACTAATCAGGTCCTCTTGCAGCTCTTCTCAAAAAACTATTCTAGTCTTGAAAAACTGATAACTAAAACGGTTTCGATGCAAATAATATGTCTGTCATCAAGATAATCAAAATTAGTTAGTCTATTGTTTAATGATAGATATTATTTATAAATAAAACACCTTCACGTCGTGAATAATACTATATTTTAAATTTGATGATGAACTTCTAACGGTTCAAGCAAGAAATAGTTTCCTAGCCAGTTTCGTGTTGCTGTTGTTTGCATCTGCTGTCATTGATATATTTTTTTGTGGATATAATGTCAAGAAACACGTTTCAATTCTACCTATACATATGGGCATGGTTCACACATACATGTATATGTACATATATTCGCACAAACAGACGTCAGGGCGGTTATGTGTAGCTGCTTTTGGCATTTTATTTGTTTTGTATTATAGCTGGTATTAGCTTTTTTTAATTCCGGTTCGACGACCCTTTCACTTATCCAAGCAATCAATTTTTGCAGCAAATTTGGCAAAATATTAAATAGCTTTTATTTAGCAAATACTCGCAGAAGTGCGCATTTGGCTATTGGCTGCATAAATTACTAAAATTTTGATGTGACGCATGCCAAAGTCATGGCATTAAAGCAATGCACCATGAAATATTGGATACATATTTTTTGGGGAAAAAAATACTTTAAATAGCTATGAAATCAATACCAGTAACACGCAAAGTGCAAAGAAAAAAGAAAGACTGAAACAAACAAATAAATATTTCTACAAGCATTGCACGAAGAGTCATTTGGTTTCAACACGCTGTTCGAGGGTCGATCAGCCATTTATTTATGTTATTAATGTTGAAATAATTTTTAATAAAATAGTGTTGTTCTTATTCAAAGAAATTGTTTCTTGTAGCTTGCGAAAGTAAAGTTTTTTTTTCACCGGGGGAAGGAAATTTATTTTTATTTTCCAATCAAAAGATAGTGCCACAATAAATCATGAAAAATAATCCCTCTATCTAGTTCAGAGTACATATATATTATGGCTCCAGTTTTCAACACATTTCTCAACCGAAATTTTCTTTTTAACTATCTTTATAAGAGTAAATTATAACAAAAAAAGTCTATAATCTAGAATGCTCGTACTAATTGAAAAGCCCTCGTTCAATTTCAAGTGGGGCTGTTTGTTTTGGGGACTTGTAACCCCATTATCGCATTGAATGCCAGTGTGGCGTTTATAACAATTATTAATTGTGTTTTGCATATGCATTTGGTAATGATTTTTAATATTTATTTGCATTTGTATTGCTTAATTGTCCTAAGCTGCAATGAGCTGTTCAAACCACATAATTAAATTAGAATATTTATTGGAAAATTAAATAAATAGTCCGCGGTCGCTTGGCTAATTAGTAATTATTAAAATATGAATAGATATACACAATTGGACAGTTTGTTTGTGCATTGAGCAATCGTTTGTCTATCTGGGCATATAAGGCAATATATTATGTTGCCCCATTGACCACACTTGTTAATTAATTATTGCATTTGTTGCCTCATTGACTGTTGTCTGACTTGTGAAGCTTTGTCAACTTAACACCCACGAGCACTGTTGCGTGACGAATACGCATGTCTATGTTTAGCAATACGCGTATAAGCGAGCGTTGAAAAGAGAGTTAGGCAAGTATTAGCTATGATTAAGGAATCGGTGTCTCAATAGATTTAGATTTTCCTCACCCCAATTAGCCAAATATTGAAGAAAATGTGACGCGTGCTGCACAGACAAGCTAAATTAAAAAACTTAATGATTTTACTGACAGCCTTTACTTTTTCGACTGACCGAGTCAGTGGAAGAATTCCAAGAAATAATTTTTCTTGAAAAATAATTAATGTACAAGTTTGTATTTTTAGAATTCAGAAATCTTTTCGGTTTTTAAATTTAGATTAGCTTTAAATATACAAATTTTCAATCATTTGTAACTCCCAACTAGTCGTCGCTTTTTGTAACAAATATACAAACAGCTTGCTCACACTTTTGATAGGGATTATTATTTTGAATTTTGAATTTAAATGATGGCCAAGCCATGCCTACTTCCTGGTAAAATATGATATAATCAACGCCAGACCATCGGAAAGAGGAGAATAACATGAACCTGAAATTCTTGTATAAAAAATGAATAAACATTTATTTAATTATTTAATGCACACTAGGTCAAAAAAAAAAACTAAAATATTACCATGGGAAATGTTAGTTGATTGTGATGCTCTTTTTTTGAATTTTTCTAAATTAAATATTATTAGCATTTCTTATTAGATAAACACGTAAAGACTGCACTTCATAATTCTACACCTTAATGCCAATATGATTTATTCATCCAATCCCACGGCTGCTAGCATCGCGCACACCTCACACACACCACACACACACATACACACACTACAACCGCCTACTTCTATTCAAAAATAGCAAAAGCTGTTGTAAGGTGAAGCGAAGAAGCCGCTGTGGTCCATAAAAATGATCTAATTTGAACTCTTTTTGTGGCATTCATTATAATATTTGATTTCTTTTTCATTATATTTTATTTATTGCAGAGCAGGGTCGGTCAACTCGTTCTCTCGTTTGGCTTTCCTCTGATTTTGTTTTCTGTTTGCCAACTACGCCCACAACAAGCATGTAGCGATGAATTTGCTTAAACAGACTTGTTAAGCGCATGTATATGACTTTTGGATTATGTTAAAATGCACAATTAATGCGGCTTTAATTTGTGGCAGTTGTCAAATTGCCAGATTGAGTTTAATGTTAAACACATTAATTCGTTAGAAGTTTTCTAAAAATATGCACAACACCTACTACTTGAATTTACACACATACATATGTATGCGTAAGTGTCCATATAAGGCGGTGAGTTGATGAATTATTTTTTTATTTACTTGTCACAATTGATTTGCATAAGAATGCGAATAAGTAGTTGGGCAATGTACATGTCTTTGGGAATTTTAAATTGAGTTTTTGAGAAATTTGCAAGAACCGGTATGTTTACGTTCAATACAAGTATTATATAATTAGCTTAAGCAGCTGACAAAAATGCGAAATCAAGATATTAGTGAATTAAGTCATCAGTGAGTTGCTTGATTAATTGGCAGGCAGCCTTAAAAGTGCAGGCATGTAAATGTGTTTAGATAATTCAACCTACATATGTTCATATGTATAGTAGGGGTATGTGTGAACGTTGTGGGTATCTAATGAACTTTCGCCAAATTTTGACAAGTTTATCATTAATCATAATGCAAAAGGTGCGCAAATTTATGTAATGTTAATTGCACAAAGGGAGAAAAAAGCCAGGAGGGAGGGGGACAGACACATTCAACTCAAAGCATCAATTACAAAAACATGAACATTTAACAATTTCAAATATGATCATTGTTCAGATTGATTGAGGTTTTGTTGTTGTTGGTGGTGGTGTTACGGTTACATCAGTGGCATAAACAAATTGTGACAATTGGCAAGATAGGGGGAAAGGCCACGGCTGCTGCTGTGTTTACATTTAACAATTTTTAATTGCAACAGACGCGCATTTAATGGACCATAATGTACAGGATTTACACACACACACACACATGCACACACTGCTGTTCTAAATATTCAATTGCTGTTGTTGTTCTTGTTGTTCATGCTAGCTGTGCTTCAAGCCTTATCTAATTTATGCAAATTCCGTTACAGCTTAGTGACACAATAGACACATTAAAGCGAATACGAGATGGCGCCCGGAGGCGGACGCGGAGGCGCACGATTTGTGTTTGTTGTGTTGCCTAATGCCTTTAATTTGTTTGTAATTAGTTTATGTTAATTACCAACATAAAACTTACCTCAGTAATTAAATGAAATCCGTTGATATGGAAATCAATTGTAGAATTACATAAAGTATTGCCTTTTTTCCTTTATTACTTGCTTTTTTAATTTGTTGGCTTTCTTCGCGATTTGGTTTTTGTTTTGGTAAATATGTTAAGACTTAAATGGAACCGCAAACAACAACAATTTAATTGCGCTGGCAACGGTTTTTGCGATAGATCACAAAAAGTAAAAATGAAGACAACATTAATGCATAATTTGTAAATAAAAACAGAAGACTTGATAAAATTAAAGCAAATGAAGATTTTGATTAATATAGAAAAAAGTCGCTGGTTTGCGCAGCAACTACGACGTTTTTTTAAAGATGTTTTTGCCTCTACCTCCCTCCCTCGGCCACCATCTTAAATATGTATGTATGTTAAAACCAAAAACACATATTGCATGGTTAGGCGCGAAGAAAGAAGATGCGCCAAAAAGCACACGCTAAAACCGACTTATGCAATTTATTTTTGTTTGTTTTCAATTTTTACTCTTTGTTTTTGCCGTTTTTATATTTTTGCTTTTGGTTTCTTTCGTTCGTCTGGTAATGCGCAAGAAACGCTTAAAATGCACAATGCACATTTCTCACACATATTCCAAACTGTATCTGTTTCTTGGCCGAAAAATTGTGTCAGTAAAATGTTGTCTAAATATTTACTGTACTGTTCAAATAAATGAGCACTTCATGTTTTATTTTATTTCTGGCATTGTTGTTGGTGTTGTTGTTGTAATGCAATTTGCACACCTCAATGTTTTGCACGAAGCTAGCAAATGCTGGCTTTTGGAGCTGCTGCAGCGGCTCAGTTTATGCGTGCGCCGTGGCTCGTGAATTCTGCGCGCAACCCGACCGACACGAACCGCAGATGTAAAGAAACTGAACTGGGAGATCTTAACGCTCACTGCATAAGGCCGGTCCGCGACAGTAAGCGATCGAATTGGCCGTCTCTCTGTCGCTCTCCCAAAGTAAACTGGAGACAAGAGGCCATCAGCAACAACCCAACCGTCTGATGTTATAATTGTTAAAAAATTAAATGCATTGCATACTTTTAGGATGCTCCAATTTTGACCAAAAAAAAGAATGACTTTTCACACATGTAAGCAGACACAATTACTTTAAAATTAATTGCTAATTGTTTCTAAAAGAATGTAATATAAACATTTATAGAAATGAAGTAAAAAATAAGCAACTAATAAGTTTTAATAGTAAATATACATATATGTACATAACATACATTGTATATATACATAGATGTGTGTCCTATGGATGCATACTATGGACAACTCTTGTGTATATGGTATTTTCAACTAGCTTACGCCACCATATTGGTAGCAGAATACTAGTTTAATAAATTGTATAAAAATTTTTTACAAAAAAGTTGATGGGTGGAACTTATCGCTATTAATATTTTAGCTGCTTTCTTTATATAAAAGCCACACTCAATTTTATTATTATAAATTAAAGTTATAGTGAAAAACAAACATAATCAATAATAATAAACAAGAACAATTAATGCATTTTGGTCTTTTCAACATTCGTTAAGCAGCAGAACAAATATTGAGGACAGAACGAGCCAGCATAAACGATGCATCACGTTTCGAAAGAAATAAGTATTTTCATTTATTGCTGTATTTAACCAGTAGCCGAAATCAATTAAGACAAATATTTATCACAATTAAACGTTAAAGCTTAATATAAGTTGGAGTATGTTGGTAATTTAAAATCATTTATTTATTAAAGAAACGTGTTTTGAAATGTTTCTTACTCTGTCAAAACTCCATTTGTTTGCGTCTCAGCCAGGAAGACGTTTATTTCATTTCATGAACATTTACGCATTATGCAGTAATCTGAACATAATGCGATTATCGCATTTCACTAACTTTAGCAATTTGTAATTAAAAGAGCAATTGGATTATTGCGATTTAAAAAATTTCTGTTTGCACAAACAATAATTGGAATTGTCACAAATGTTTTGAGTGAATGTAAATGAAATTAATTAATTAGTTTAAAAGGATTCAATACAATGGAAAAATTATATGCATATTTTCTCCCCCAACACATTTATGTTTAATCTGCAAGCGAACTGTTTTTACAATTCGCAAAATAAAAACAGGCCCGTATATGTTTATGTACTGACATTTGGCAAGATTCTTTGTCGACAAATTGAGCGATTAAGGTCCTTATGTCTACTTACGGACATCTGCTCTATAAAATGTGTACACACAAATAAAAGTCCAACCTTTATGCTGGATACGAGTGCATTTTCCTATTAGAGCTGACATCGTCACACTGGAGATTTGAGCGGGACACATAAAACTGCAGTTGCGAGAAAGAACTCCAGCCGTGGATGTCACAATATGCCAATGCACTGGGATGCGAGTGCGTTTTAAAGGCGCGCCCAAAAGCATGCTTTAAATTTATGGCACATTTGTCTCGCAAAATTACCACACGAACAGTCAGGGCCATAAAAATGGTTACAGCTGCCTGCTGACAGCTGCCAACCGCCAACAACAACGATGAGAGGACATGGACACAGGCGATGTTGTTGCCGGTTCTATAGTTGTTGTATTTGTCATTTGTTGGCGCTGTCTCTGACGCTGTCGCTATCGCTTTATTGTTACATAAATGCATTACGCGCCCAGACAGTCAAAGAGTGTTGTGACGTCATTTAATTATGGCTGCCGGCAGCTTGTAATATCCTGCAAGCGCACAAAAAATGCCATTAAAATTGTGTAATAGCATGTATTAAAAACGAATGGCAGGACAAACTCTATTGAAAAAACGGCAACATTATGACCATGGCTAAGTGATTTTTGTTGGCTCTCTAATATGGCAATTAAAATACAGAAAGCGATTTCGAAAGTGATTAAAAAACACATGCAGCTGCGTATATTTTGAAGTGATTCTATTTAATTAGGCAGTGCACATAACCCCTCTCCCACCGCCATTCACATATACCTATGTACACGCAAGTCCAGTGTCATTGTCTTGGCGTTGACCTTGTAAGCGCATAAATAAAACCTCAGGCAGCGCCGACAGGGAGTCGAAATGCGAGCACTTTGACCTTTCTTTCAACTAAGCGGTGTATGCATAAATTGCCTAAGCTTGTCAAATTCGCGCACTTACACATTCACACAATCAATGGTGTGTGTGTGTGTGTGTAAGGATTTTGCGCCGCTTATGTCATCAAGAACGTACCCGCATGGCTTCCTTTTAATGCGAATGTGAATGCCTGAGCCTGTATGTACTTGAGCCTGTGCAGCGACAGCGACAGTGGCAACGACAGTGGCAACGACAGTGGCAGCGGTAGTGACAGCCGACGAACGAAAGCAAACGTTAAATATAAAATCCTATTTATTTGCCAATTTTACATGCGAGTGCACAGCAAATGACAATGACGTCAGAGCAAGTGAAGGCGCCGAAGTGAAAGCCCAAAACTATGCAAACACATTGACACACTCGCACACACAAACATACATGCAAAAGCTTAAGTGTATGTGTGAGTGTGTGTGTGTGTGTGTATGCGTGCCTACGGCGAGCCAAAGTCCAAAGTAAATACAAAAACAAAGCCAAGTACAAAACGAAAGTCATAATTCCATTATCAAGGAGCTGGGAATGTGTGTTTGTAAGTTTGTTTTCAATGATGTCATATGATTGCGACGGCGGAACGTTTCAAGACGCCGGAAATCCATGTGGGTGGGTTTCACGCAAGCGCACACAAAATGGCTGCCACATGAAGCATTCGTTGGAGCGGCAGTTCGCTCTTGGCCAAGTGACGTCATAACTCTCTTAATCACACAAACTGTGAGGCCGTTGATTTGGCAATGTTGTCGACTTTTATTATTCGCGCATTGCTCGTCTGTAGCATCAATCTTTCTGTATATAAATATACATCTATATAAATATATGTATGTGTTTATATAAATGGAAATGTTGGTATATACTTGTAAATATGCATATTTGTGTGTGTGTGTGTGTGTGTGTGTCTTGGCTCTTGCGGCAACATACGCAGCTGTTGTTATGATGTGCTTTAGTACTTCATTTGCTTCGATTCTTGCTGCCTGCCATCTTGCCGCTTGTCATTATTACTGTTGCTGTTGTTGTTGTTGCTGGGGCTGCTGCTGATGTTCGTGTGTAAATATTTATCTTAAAGTGCTCTTATTCAGTCGCAACTCATGCGTATGACTTTATTTATTTGCTTGACTTGTCTATCTATGCGAGTTTATTGCTACTGCCATGACATGTTCGTCACTGGTTGTCATGGCATTAATGTCAGGACATTAACCTCCAATCGTACAAATCGTACCACATCATTAGATTTCAGCCACTTCAATTTTATGCGCGATGAAAGTATTAAATTACATGCACAGAGCTGGAACAATTTGAAGCAGTAATAAAGGATATTTCTGGAGACAGTCTGAACAATCTTATATCTTATATACGTATAGTACAAGTATAATGCAAATATTTATAAACTTATTTTCTCAATATGTATTCACCATTAGTGGTCCAAACAGCAAAATAAACAAACAAACAAACAAACAAGCAGACAAAACACGCTTTGCTATGTAAATGTAACTTGAAATTCGATTGATGCAAAGCAAATCAGGCTATTAAATGGAAATGAAAGAGTTGAAACAAGCCAGCCAGGCGACAGCGATGTGGCAATGTGTCGGACTGTTTTCCTTTTTTGTACCCCAATAAAAGAGGGCTGCATAGCAAATTTATCGCCGGAAGTGATTTTCACTGAAATTCAATCAATAAAAAATTATGTTGCTGCCAAAAATAAAGCACACACTCACACACACAGCACAACAAATGGACCAAAAATTTTGCACAGCATGATGCTGTTGCCTAAAAGTAGGCAACGCTCGAAATGGCAAGGGTCGCTTATGTGTGCGTGCGTGGCTTTGGAGCCTGCGATTGTGTGTTTGTGCGTTTGAAACTCATGCAGCATTTCCTGTCAGACTGCTGTTGATGAAGCGAGCATCTGGAGAGGCAAGCTGTTGTAAAGCGTAAGAAAAATGGCTACAAATTTATGACTCTTGTCTTGCCTTTGTTTTTGATTTCATCTCCGGCCCGGCAAATGGAAAAGGAAGAAGGATTGTACTGTGCGCTGCTGGTAGGCAATCTTGTAGTTAATGATTTGCCTAATTTATTCAACATATGCCCATTTTTTTTAAGAGTATTCATATTTTAATGCAGTAACGTCATAAAACCGATAAACAATATGCATCTGATAAATGGAATTGCTTGCAGCCATAAAATTCGCAAATACATAGCGAAGTAGATTTATATGTCATTTGGATTTAATATTGATTTTAAAAGTTGTTGGATTTGTTAAAGATGCGCATAGCAATGTGCTGACTGCTCTCTATCTGAGCTGCATTTTTTCTTCTTCATAAATATCAGTAAACGAAGTTAGTAGCCACAAAGGATCGTATATATTTATGTTTAGTGAATGTTTTGCTTTTATCAATAACAATAATAATTTTATTGGATATGCATTGCAATTTTTTTTGGGATTTAATATCTCATTTATGATATATAAATATGTATGTATATATATAAAAAAAACTATTTTGTAAAGCAAAATCGGCTCAAATTTCAATTTAAGCATCAACTTTTATGTTAGACATTTCAAATCACACTTCAAATTATTAAGCATACTAATTATAGTACATATTTCAGGAATATCAAAAATTTCGATATTTTATCCCGCTTGTCAAATGATCCATTTCTGGATTTTGTAAGAGAATGCTGAGGTCAGGGATAATGTAACGGGAGAATTTTCCTTACCACAGAACCAGCTTTCGTGTGCAATTTAAGTTCCGAATTTCTTCTATTAACTATTGTCTGTAATTTTT